TATATATATATATCCCACTTTATGTGTACTTCATATATCTATGACAGTAGAAACCTGGGTATTTCCACGGAAAGAGTTTTAAGGATACATTAGTCCAACCTATATTAAAGAAGAGCTGTACTGTTAAAGTGTGGAAAGGCAATAAATTATCTTCTACTTTTTAAAAAAGTAAACAGACAAAGGCCTATTTATAAGCAGTTAGCAATTTATGGGAAGGAATACACAGGCAAGGGTGCTCTCTGATGAGGGGAAGAGCCTGCTATAGTGTCCATTATTTTTTCCCTCTGCTGCTCCCTTTGATCACCATCTTTTTAAATTATCACATTAATTTAACCATAAGGACCCAAATCAATGGCGATTCTAGTACATCTTAGTAGATATTCATACATAAAAATGTTACTCATAATCTCACACATTTTCATTTTTATGATTTAATTCTGACTGACTCATAATGCACAAGTTATTTGTAATTTTTATTACTGTTAGATTTTTTAAAAAGATAATATACAGAATAAAGATGAGACTAGCCTACAAAGCAAGGGAACACAAAATTGGTGCTCAGGTTCGCACTACAAATGTCTGTCCATGAGCTCATGGCTCTGCTATTCTGATATTCTTGTACCGGTGTAGTTTTGATTTTGAGCACCAACGTGACAAAATAAAGCAAAGTGAAGCACTCTCCGTTTTTGGTAGTTGTGTTCCGGTGGTTTATGAACCCATCAGAGGAAAGAATGTACATTTTGGGATCAGAAGTTCTGAAAGTTAAGTCCAGCTCTGCAACTGAAGCTATCTGCATTGAAGCTGTCTACATGTGTCCACCAGTATTGGGTTAAATCTCTTGGGGCCTTGACTTCCTCAGTTAGATGTGATGACTCTCTCACTATGACTTTAGAAAGACCCTGGGCTTTGCATGAGTTAATTTAGTTCACCTGGGTCAGCTGGGGAAGTGTATTTCTTTCTCATTGCTGGGCAGATGTGACCTCCCCAGGTCCGCCATGCATGCAATACCTCAGGAACTGTGTTGCCCACCCACAGGGTTGCTGAGGAATAAAGCAACCTAATCATGAGAGAGTATTTCATAAATTCTTAAAGAATGGCATAGTTTTACAATGTTATCATTTTTTGAGGCTTTGCTCCCTTTATCCTTTAACTCAGCAAACATATATGCCTAATCACCCCTTGAGGGTTTGTCCTTGGTTTTAAGGACTCAGATACTCAGTGGGTCCATGGATTCATTTTAAATTTCCTCTCACAGGAATCTTTATTGCAGGTTTCCAAGAAGCAGCATTCTGTTGCCCCCTACAGCTGGGAAAGGGGTGGCCTGAGGTGCTCCCCTCCAGGCTGGGCACAGGAAAAGGCAGACGAGAACTGAAAGAAGGGAGTAAAAATGGGGGCTGTCTGAGTTACTTTTCTCATTGCTGAGACAAAATACCTGACACTCAAAGTTAAAGGAGGAAAAGGTTTATTTGGTCACAGCTTGTAGAGGTTTTAGTCCATAATTGGCCGGCTCCAAGGCAGAGTGGCACATGACACAGGCATCGCAGAGGAGAAGCAGTTCATGGTGCCCACAAGGTAACAAATACTAAGGGAGGAGGGAGACACTCCTCTTTCTGTCTCTTATATTGCATCCAGTCTACTGGGATTAGGGCGGTACCAGTCCAATCAATAGACTGATTTACTAATCTCACACCCTTAGTCCCAGCATCACAGACTCTAGATTTAGCCATCTCTAAAAAAGCGTGATGACCGCACGAGGCCTTGAGGGGACATCTAGACACAAACCATAAAAGGAGTCTAGCTGGGATTATCAGCTGTGGCTTGGCCCACCTATGGGTTCAGATAATTATTTTCTTGGCCTATTCTTTACCTCTGCTGTGCCTCTTCCAGGGAACTCTGCTTTCCACTGTTTCTGGAATCTGCCTTCCATTGTTTCTGGACTCTTCCTTCTATTGGTTCTAGAATCTGCCTTCCATTGCTTCTGGAATCTTCCTCCTATTGCTTCTGGAATCTTCCTCCTGTTGCTTCTGGAATCTTCCTTCTGTTGCTTCTATAATCTTCCTCTTATTGCTTCTGGAATCTTCTATGATGCCTGTCTTCAACTACTAATGCAATGTGTTCTCTCATTCACCCTTGTCCCATAGCACTTTGTTAATAAGACCTGCAGAGTCCTTATCTTATCCTGCCTTTGCTAAATTACAAAATCCTCGAAGCAAGGATTTTAGTGACCTGCCGTCTATGCCTCAGTCTGCCTGGATTTAAACTCTGGCTCCCCCACTTCTTAACCACTCCACCTGGATCAGGCTATTGAGCTTTTCTGGGTCTCCCTTTCCTCATTTGTATAGTGAGGGTGGATAACAACAGGACCTACATGACAGGATCTCTTTGACAGTTAAGTAAAATTCCACATGTAAATCTCTTAGGAGAATGCCAGAACATAGAAAGTCCTAAATATTGGCTACTGGTGTCCTAAATCCTATAGCTGGTACACAATTTCTGGATCAAGTAGGAATTGTGTCTCCTGAGATTTCCTGGAGGGGTCAGCTGAAGGAGGTCCAATCTGGGACGCTTGGAGTCCTGGGTCTGCTGTGCTCTAAGACCACTCCTAGCCTAGCACCTTTGATCAAAGGGTGGCCAGGGACTAGTGGGCCTATCACTACAATTCTGTGCCTTTTCCTTACCGCAAGTGTTCCTGAGTGCTCTAGAAAGTCGGGGGCTGACTGCAGGCTGACGAGTGAGGAGAGGCTGCTCAATCTGGTCCTCCTTGCCCCAAGCCTTTAAGGGAGAGTTGAACAGAAGGGAGCTCCAAGGCTCAGCAGACGGAGGGGGGAAGGGAGGATGAAGGAGCAGAGGGTAAGATGGAGATCAGGGAGCAGGACACAAGAGGAAGGGTTCAGAGGGCATCAGAGAAGAGGTGACAGTGGAGGAGACCAGAAGAGGCAGGGAATGGAGAAGTTGCACTTTCCCAGGAAGACAGAGCAGAGGCCATCAGGGTAGAGCCCATGGGGCTTAGACTTTCAACCTCTAGGAAGTTTGGTCCTCTCTCAGGGGAAAGTCCAGCCTCCAGGTGGCAGTGGTGCCTTAGTCACGTGTCCCCAGCCTCCCGTGGTTACCACAAGGTATAGCAGCCCTGGGCCGCTTTCTCTGCAATGGTGGGTACCAGTAGGTGTCTTTCTCTATACGTTGTAACTATGTTCAATCACAAGTGCTTAGAGTTAGAGAATTCTAAATTTTGTTTAAAATCATCCTTTTAAGCTTAAGTGAGGAGAGTTATAGACCCCATGAGTTTTACTCTAGCCTGCTGCCAGGGTTAGGCCCTTATGCAGTGGATTTTTAAAAAAATTTAATTTTTATTGGTACATGTTTGTAGTACGTGATGATTAAATCCATCACGGGGAGCTGGAACGTGCATGTGCCCCAGTTTAATTTTTTCTTCATCCCTTCCACTCCATTGTTTGGTCCCCTTCTCTTGTGCAAAGATTTGTCTCCTGATTTCCTATTGTCTATCTTTTATTTTGCTCTTTAATTTATTTGTATTTTGGGTTTTTCATAGAAGCGAACCCATATTTAAGCTTCAGATATGGGCAATAAGATCAAGGCGAATTTTCAAAAAAGAAAAAAAGTTCCCTGTTTAGATCAGGATGGGTAATGGCTGATTGGGAATGGCATGCACTTTTGACACACTCTCTGTGTGGACTTGCTCTGCTTACACTATGATGAGTTAGAAGATAATTTCACCTGGGCCAGCTTCTGAGGTTGTTTCATTCAGGGTTGAGGAGGATCCATTTATTCCTTTAGGGACCTTTTCAGTTCAGTTTTATTCTAATTTAGACAAAACTACACACACACAGCTCTTTTTGAGTTGGAAATTTAAGAGTTTGTGACAGTGAAACCAGTGGAATCTAAATTTAACCTCCAAGACTTGAGAATGAAACAATCCTAATATTTTTAAAAAACAAAGGTAAGAAAATGTCATAGATTTGGAATGCTAATTACACATTCAGACAGCAAAAAAATTGCTAGCCTAATGTCTGAAAAGAAGTTGCTGAAATTTAAGTCAATTCTGTTTAGATATTCAACTATTTGGAATTTCATAAAAGCAGTTATTTTTAAAATATGATGTGAAATTTTAAGTAAAATAAAACAGATAAATGTTTCCTAATATCGAAAGCTGCTGAATTCTAAAACTGAATTGTGATAGGTAATTTCCACATCTCCAGTGGACATGGAAATAAAATGACTTCTCTTTTTTGAAAAGTCAAACTATTCTGTGTCTGAACTTTTCCCAGTGTTTTTTACTATATTTTCTGTTCTGTCCTGCCTAGGCCCCTTCCTTTCTCTTTCCCATTCCCTTTCAGTTTTTGCTTATTTTTCTCAGTCTTTTTCTTTTTTCCCCTATCTCCTCTAGTTTTCCCCCTATTGCCTCTAGTTTTTCTTTTCAGTTTCCATCTACTAGATTTGTCTCCCCTCATCTCCTTTGCCTGCTCCCCACCCTTAACAGATCCAACTAGGTAATTAACATGTGTCCATAGAAATGCTTATTAATTGGAGACTGAGTTATATTTTCCATTAGTAATTATCAAAGCAAAAATAAAAATGTACCAAAGCAAGTAATGATCAAAAAAGGTAAAGCAATTGTCTACTAATTGACACGCTACCCCCACCCTGGCTTCTGTGGGGGTCAGGGGTGGGGACAGAAGGCTGGGTTTGGGGCAGTGACCCGGAAGTAGTACAGAGTCTCCCTGCTAAGAGTCGTTCCCAAGGCTCGGAGGCTGATTAGTAGTGGAGGGTGATGAGCGTAGCTGCCTTTCAGCCCATCTTTCCTTCTTAAGTCTCCTGTGCCATGATTTCTCCAAACAGGCTGATTTGCTTCTTCTATCAAGCAGTGAGCCCCACGGTCTCTGTTACATTGAAACCGCTGAGCTTGATGGGTAAGTTGCTAAATCAGAATAATTAGTTTTTTTTTTTTAACTTTATGGAGTCTTTAGAAGCCGGACTCAAACCTCATCCTTCATTTTCTTGGAAGAAATAGGAATCTAAGTTGTGAAGCCCCGTGTAAGTTATTTTGCAGCAATTTTGAAAACACATTTTCTCCTTACTTTACCTGGGAAATTCCTTTCCCTTGAGTTTATTTTCTCCCAGAAACAGTGAGCTAAACATGTGTATACAAACAACCTTCACAGGGACTCTTGGTGAAGTTCCATAGAAGCTTCTGTTTGTTTTAATTTCAAGTGATTTTCTAAGGAAAATGGGAAGGGTGGAGGTCCATGTCCTCTGAGGAAGGAGGAGCTGAAAAGGACCCTTAGAAGCTAGGATAGGTGGAGCTGCAGACAGAGAAGAGTGAAACCGACCACGGGGCAGTTTTGAAATTGACATTAATTTATAATTTAGTTATAGACAACATGGCAGTTCTGTTTCAGAGGGCTTAATTTTCTGGAAAAAATTTACTGCAAGATTATATTGTAAAGATGCTATATACGTGTGTGTTCCTTAAATGGATTTTTATCATTTTATAGTGCCGTGGGTCCTGTACAAGCCTTTGTTGTACAGGCAGTGAAGCAAAGCTCAGAGAGGCTGGAGAATTTGCCTAGGACTTCTAGAGAGCGAGGGTAGGACACAGTCTTGGCGGTCTGATAGTTGTTGCTGTATGAAGCTATTCCAGTAGCATCTGGCCTGCCTGATCATCCTGCCCCTGGTTTGGGCAGAACAGTTTCAGAGACAGCTGAAAGGGAAAGGCATAGACTTGAAAAAACAGCCTCCAATCAATCTCTCTCAAGAGCCTGGAAATAGCAAAATAAATCCAAAACAAGTGGACGGAAGGAGACAATGAAGATAGAACAAAAACCAATGAATTTGATCACAAAAAATAAGGAAAGTGGATGAAATAGATTTTTAAAAAATATTAATTTAGTTGACAAACCTGTAGGGAGGGGAAGAGAGATAGAAGATGAAAATGAATTATTAATATCATAGATGAGCCAGGGGAATTCACCACAGACACTGAAAACATCAAATGGGTAATGAAGAAATACTACAAACAACTCTACCCACAAAAATTTGACAATTTAGACAAAATGGAGCACTTCCTCAAAACAAAACAAAACAAAACAAAACAAAACAAAACAAAACAAAAGAAAACACAAGGCTTGTTACGGCTTGTGTTTGGATGTCCCCCCAAAGCCTCATGCAGTCATAGGTGGGGCTTTTTCAGAGGTGGCTGGATCTAGAGTGTGATGCTGGAAGTGATACATGGCGCAATGCTAGGCTCAAGGGCTCTAGGGCTAAGGGTGTCAGTGCTCCTAACCCTAAGTAGCCTGGATAAGATGTAAGGGACAGAGCTGTGGTCATCCCTTGCTTGCTTGCTTGCTTTTGTTGTCTTCTACTTGCCATCAGCTGCTTCCACTCTGCACTGCCCCTCTGACGTGCTGCCCAGCCTTGGAGCCAACTGATTATGGACTGAAACCTTTACAAACTTTGAGCTAAATAGTCCTTTCCCCTTTTAACTGTGGGTGTCAGGTATTTTGTCTTAGCAATGAGAAAAGTAACTAAGATGAGGCTATATACCCAGTATAAAATCTAACTTGAATAATCCCAGAAGTATTAAGGAAATTAAATCTAATATAGAACATAAAACCTTAAACCTTTTAGGCAAAAATATAGGAAAAGATCTTTGAGATTTGGGGCTGCTCCAAGAGTCATTAACTAGGTTTGACACAAAAAGCATGCTCCATAAAAAGGAAATTTTGGCGAACTAGGCTTCATCATTTTAAAATCTTTTTCTTTGTAACAACCTAGCTAAGAGGTGCAATAATAAGCTACAGAGTGGGAGAAACTAATTGCAAAACACCTATTTAACAAAAGGCTTGAATCCTGAGTATGTAAAAATATTCCCAAAACTCAAAAGACAAAAAGAAAAACCTACTTAGAAAGTAGAGAAATGGCAGGAACAGACACTTCACTGAAGACGACATTGCTAATAAATGCACAAAAAGTTACTCAGCATCCTTAGCGACGAGGGAGATTAAAACCACAGTGCTTTAGTGCTCAGATCTTTCAGAGCAGCTCACATAAAGCATAGCGACACAGCTCTGAGGGCTGGCAAGGACGAGGAGAACCAGCATCACTCTTACACTGCTGGTGCGAATATAAAATGTTAGTGACTCTTGGAAGTGATGTGGCAGTTTCTTAAAAACTAAACATACCACTACCACCCAACTCAGTAGTTTTACTCCTGGGCACTTATAATAGAGGAATGAAGACTTCTATTTGCACAGGACACCTCCTCATGAGCGTTTATGGCTAGTGGATTTGAAGCTTCCCCCAAGGAAATGCCATAGATATCCTTCCACAGGTGAATGGTTGGACAAATCGTGGCATGGCCACATCACGGAATGCCACACAGCGATACAAAGCAATGAGCTATGCACCACTGGGGCAACTGTTCAGAGAGTTCTCCTGAGTAACATGAGCGAATGCTAAAGGATTCGGAAACACATGCTGTACGGTTCCACTCATATGACATCCCTGAAAAGGCAAAATTATACAAATGGAGAACAGATGGGTGGTTGTCAGGTATTAAAGAGGGCTGGAAAAGGAAAGGAGTGTGGCTGTAAAGCACAGCCCGAGGGATCCTCATTTTGGTAGAAATGTTCTGTGCATTGCTGGGTCACCGTCCGTAGCTGGGTGGTGATGTTATGCTATCGTGTCAGGGGAAACCAAGTGCAAGCTACACACAGTCTTTATGTGTTGTTTCTTGTGCTAAACATCATTATGAATTTTATCACGATATTTGGGTAGATGAAGAAAGAGTGAGGCAAAACCCTGTGGGCATTAATCAGGAGTCTTGAAAGATAATTTTTAAAGTATTAACAAGGTCTATGTGTGATTACTTTTCCCCTTTTGGTTTTCCCATTTGGAGGTGGAGGTGAGGTGTTGGAGAGAATCCTGAGGAAGTAATTCAAACTAATGATCAACCTTGATGGGTGACATCGGGTAGAGCGGAGTCAGAGAACTAGTGCTCACTGCCTTGGTTGATGTGATTGGTATAATTATTCAAAAAGCAGTGTAAATGGATCCGAATATATTGAATAGTGAGCCTTGACACCATTTATTTCACTTTTGTCCACCGATCCCAGCACAATTTCTGCCTCATTTATGAAGTTCTTGACCTCCTCAATCCCTCCTCACCTCTGCCTTCTAGGAATTGACGTATTTTGAATGATAAGATGATTCTTACATTCACTTCACTTATACATCCAACTGTGTGTTTCCTGAAGGAAGCTATTTCACCAATGGGCATTCCTGTGTTGGGCTCATATTGTCCTAATATCATTGTGAATCTCATTCCTAGGAAGTTAGATTGAGTGCACTCTTGCGTATCTACATCTTAGGTCTCTAAACCTGATGAACTTCATAGGTTAGCATATAATTCTGCACAGAGACATACACTTTTTTTGTTTTGTTTTGTTTTTTTACTTTGTACTTATTTCTCCCAAGAAAACAATAATCCTTTTGGGGAAGCATTGAGTATCCTACGTGACTGTGGGATGTAGTTAGTTAATATTTCTTGACTGAATGAACTCATTTACATAAAAGAAAAAACTCTAACAGATGATTTTAAGCTACCATAGAAGAGAATTCAGCTGAACTCAGACAGAAAACTGGAATGGAAATCTCTTAAACACAAGACAGTAAGGATGTCCATAGAATCACTGCCAGCCATTCGCAAAACCAAGGTGCCACCTTTTCAGAGTGCATGTGACCTGGTAAGATGACCGGCTTCTGTGACCCACGGAGCTTGCCTGGCTGTGCTGCTCTAGACGTATGGATTTCTTGGTTGATTCTACAAGAAAAATAAAGCTGTCTTCTTTTTCCCATTTAAGTTTCAGCTATCGTCAAATTCACCGTGACCATTTTTTGCAAGAAAAACTCTTTCTCAGGTAGTAGACTCTGGAGTGATACCGGCCTCCTCTCCTTGGCAGCTGCGTCCCTGTTCTTAGGGTGTTTTATAACTCACGCATGTGTCTGAGTGGATTCAAATGAAATCATATTTATTATGTTCTCTATCCTTTCGCATTGCAAAACAGATCACTGTGTTGTACACAGATGTGTGGTGGGTGGAGTGCCAACTTTAGGAGCCTGAGAAGCCCCGCTCACTTTTCCAGGACGTGTGAGAAGTGTGGATGACGGGGGGCGGGGCAGTTTTGGATCACTCTTTGTATGTGCTGCGCCCACCCAACTGCTTTGGTGAGACGCTGAGGGGCCGTTCTGTACAAAAAGTCACATCATGTCATTAACTTCACAGGGAAACAAACCTTAAAGTTCGTCACGCGCTCTCTGTCACCTCAGAACTTGGAGCAGACATCAGCAGGCTTGCAAAGTTTGATGGTAAGTGTTTTACATAGACAAACAAAAACCTCAAAACTAAAAAGCAGTGTAAGAAACTAATTATCTGAGGTCGAATTTGTTTCTTTTACTTGGTAGGAGGACATAAAGTTCTCCAGGCATCAAACACTGCGATCTCTTGTGAGGACGAAGAGTAAAGGTGTTTACCAAGGGGAGAATGGCTTCTTCCAGCCATCTCTGATCCTCATCCCCTCTCCTTTCCCTCTCGTCCCTGAATCCCACTGTGCTTTTTGTTGGCTTGACAGTGGTTTCCCTGGGTCCCTGTGTAGACCTGCTGAAAGTGAATACAGGACACACTCTGATTTCTAGCTCTAGGTGTAACCATCCATCCACTGTATTCTCTCACACAAAGACTTACCACTAACCAATTACTCATGAAGACAGGCATCCTGCCCCGTGTGTTTCTGTATTTTGCACAGTTATGACATAATACTTCTAGAATAGCAAGTGTTCAGGAAGGATGTTTTGATTTATAAATCAGTTGGCCATTTGTTACCTTTTATTTTGAGCCATGTTTTATTAATCACCATCTTTACACTGTCCAACCTAGTCCCCTCCTCCTCCCCATGGTCCCCTCTGGCTTCTGCAATTGGCCAGCTATACCTTATATTTTTCTGTTAAAGTTATTCTTCTTAAATATTTATGGAATGGCCTCCAGATAGTGTCTATCCTAGGGGTATCTGCATTTGATCAATACAAGACCACAGAGAAACAAAAATATCTGCAAGAATCAAGGGAGAGAGACACTAATGGTGGAGTTTCAGATTCCATGATAGATCTTTGTGGCCTTCCTGCCACCCCTTAAAAGTCTTTTGCTTTGCCCACTTATAATTCTGGACCTGAATAATATTTCCTTACAGTTTGGATTTATTTATGAATGAACCTTCAGGATTTTGAGACAAACTTTCCAAAGCATTTTCTTTGGAGTCCATTATAGGAAAATGTGAATTTAGCATTCTCATTTGAGGAAACCCAGGCAGGTTTAGTTTATATTATAAAATTTTCAAATGCACAGCTTAGCCTTAGAGCTTACAATGCCCATGCTTTGCATTTGCTTGTATGCTGTGTTATGGAGCCTGTTAATATTTTAATCTGTCTTACATGAGTGCTATTATAACAAATGTTTATTCAAAATATGCTTCCAAATTGAGATTGAAGTCAGGGGATTAGCTTTGAAAGTTTGAATGGTCCAAGAACTATTTTGATTAGATTAAAGCAAATTACACATTTTCTAACATTTTTTCAATGAAATTTTGCTGTTATGTGACTCTAAGAGCAGTAATTTATATTTAGGAATCAAAACACTTGCTTAAAGTACCTTACTGAATATTCATGGAGCCCTTAAAGGACAATCTAAATATAATTTACTATTACTTCTTTTCTGGCAGAACTTTATACTTGTCAATTTATAAACAGGTGGAAATTGATGATTTTTTTAGTGCCCTCAACCATCAAGAAGCAGAAAATGATTGCTGCAATTACTTAGTTCTTTTTATAGATATTGGCACGGATAACCTACACTGAAGGCAGTTACAACACCCTGAACTCTTAGTGGAGGGCTTATTTCTTGCTCATAGCACATTCTGATGTGATGCGTAGCCTTTTCTAGGATCCTTTGCACTTAGACTGGAGGCCTCAAGGGTCACATGGCAGGGAAAGGGTGGCGGGGTGAAAGAGACAGTTGGAGTTTTCACTGTTCCTTGCTCTCCTGTTTCATGGGCGATCATGAGTCACCTGGCTTGGACCTAACCGTAAGAGAGACCAGGGAACAACAAATACAGATCTCTGTTGACCACCGTCTCTGCCACACTCTCTGTGAACTGTGACCATGTACGTCTGTGCCAGGATAACATGCAGAATGGGGCTGGATTTGGTAGATTTCACATGTAGAACTACTGGATTGAGGCCAAGCGTTCCCTCTTCAGCAGGGCTTCTTGTGGTCTCAGTCCTCTCTTCCCTACTTGCCTTTTCTTCTCCTTCTAGTATACCAACATCTGGCATACTATACAATTCATTTATTTTCAAAGTTTATTACTTATTCTTCATCTCTGTGTAAGCTACACAGGGGTCTTTGTTTCACCCACTGTTCCATACCTACACAAAGTAGGTGCTTAAATAAATCTTTGCTGAATAAGTAAATGAAGAAATGGTTGTAGTACCAGGAAGGGAGGAGCAGGGTCAGTATCAGGTCTTAGCAAGCCAGGGGGAGCAGAGCAAGGGCATGCGGCTCCAGGAGGGGCCTTGGTGGAATGACAAGCATGCTGGGTCTCCTTCCGAAGGGCAGGTGGCCAAGGGAGAGCTCACCCAGGGGAGCCACATTAATGTCTTCACTTGCAAATCTTTTCTCCATCACGGTTGAACACAGAGCCACATTTCATTCAACACAAATGGTGCTGTTTGGCCCGTGTAGAGAAACACTACCCCTTCCCAGGACTCCTATATTCCAGATGGGAGAACCAAGGTCCAGGCAGGGTCAACGCTTTGCATTCAGTAAAAGTAGTCTGAAAAGTACTTCATCAAATTTGCTTTTAAAGCATATGAATAACTAATACTTGCTTGATGTGACCTGAATTTGCTTCAACCAGGATTGGCAGCTTAACAAATCTCCAAAGTAAAATTATTCTCCCAAATTGAGTCAGCACAGCCCTCTTTTTTTTATTTGTTATATGTACTTAAACTGTGGTCACTTTTCAGAGAACATGTAATGCTAAATTCATGAAGCGGGTCCATTTTTGGGCTGAGAACCAAGTTTCTGCTAAACTTTCTTTTTCATTCTTCAATCTCGGGATGTGTTTTAATCTATCTAAAGTTTGAGGTAACATGGTATTTGGTAGAATTATTCGTACTAAAGTATCATTTCCTGTTTCCAAGAGAGCATCTGAAGAATAGATGGATGAAGGGGAAATAAATCAGATACAATACAAAAATTAGATTTCCCATGTTAATAGCCAAATTTAAAGGCCAAGAGAGTGATGTAAGATGTGGTAGGAAAAAGCCTTTGAAAGAGCGAGGGCAGTTAGCAAATTCTGCATCCTTCCCACGATTTCTCTGGCTTTCATGGATCCTTTAGTTTTTTTCCTCCATTCATTTCTTCCCAAGCCCACTTTCCATGTGATTTCGACTGCCCTCTGGCTCACTGTCATACGTGTATGTGGTATATGGGATTTACACACATTTGTCCAACTTCCCAAGTTTGTCGTTCTCTTCTCTGCCTTCTTCCCTTTTTGCCAGGCTTTCTTGCTCTCCAGTTTCCATCTTTCTTTTTACTCAGTTTCTTTCCTGGCTTTCTTCTCCTTCCATTCATTTTTGTTGTTATTGTTTTCGTCATCTTCTCCGCATCAATTAAAGTCTGTTTATTAAGCACCTCCTCAGGACAAGCTCTAAAACGAAGTATGTAGAATTATAAAAGATCTCTACATATATTGTCAAGGCTCTTTCAATCCTTTTCCTCACCCATGTCCTCCAACCCCCTTTATTGGGTCTTCTGTATCACCTTTGCCTTATTGAAGTACCAGTAGATCTTCCGGTACCGGTACCTGAAGATACCAGGTTTTCTTCTTGTGACTGGAAGAACTTCCTCAAGTCTTGGGAACCAAGAGCAAATGTTGCATCTTTGAGTTTCAGTTAGAAGTATGATAGCATTGTGTGCCCTTGGAAATGCCTGCCCAGCTTTGGCAAAGTATAGATGAGACTGATACGGGAGCCCGCCCTTTCTCATGTTCTGACTGTGCTAAGTGTGTCTTCAAGCTTGAGAATTCTGGGCAAATCTGGGTGTCATATTATTTTTGCTTCTTTTCATTCTGTGGTTTTTCTTCTGAGACTTACCAAAATACTTTGACTAGCACCAAACTACAGTTCCCATCCTTGTACCATAATTGCACACTTTTAAAGTATCCAAAGACCTGAGTTTCCTGTTCTTATTCCTAAAGAAGTCCTAATGGGAGTGACCCCACGCTGAGGACTCCAAATTGATGTAGGGTCAGAACAGATGTGTTTGGCTTTTTTTAGGCTCCCTGCCTCCCCACTTTTGCATTTATACCTAAGGGTAGGGTTTTGCTTGTGACTTCCTTAGGCATTGCATGAGCTTATCATTCATTCATTCATTCAACAAATATAGACTTCACACAGTGCTGAGGAATTTGTCTGGGGTTGCGGGGGTTAGTAGAGTCAAATCTTGTTTTCACAGGCCTTATAACCCAGGAGAGAAGACAGATTTGAACAAGGACTTATCCCAAAGAAGACTTTAAAAGGGAACATTCTAAAATTCTTGGGTCCTAAACATGATGGTAACACATGGACACGTGGCACGTTGACATATGGACAAGTACTCACTATGTGTCAGACATCATGTTTAGTAATTGTGCACAGTACTTTATTAAATCCTTATAGCTCTTGAAGGAAGAGATTCTTATTAGCTTCATGTTGTGAATAAGCAACGAGACCACAATAGATTGAATAAGTTGTCCAGTATCATACGTTCACTAGGCAGAGTCAGAGTATGAACCTCAGACTGCTGGCAAAGCTTGGCTGACAAAGTGCACAAAGTCTGAGGTTCTGAACTATCAGCAGAAAGGCAGCACTGAAGAAGAGTGAGGGCAGGTTAGCACAACTAACTAACTAATTAGATAAAAATACTCTAACCAGTGAGATTAGTGACCAGAGAGCATGTCCCAGCGAAATTAGTGACCAGAGAGCATGTCCTTCCAGCATGAGGATATATCGTGATATACATCTATTTTAAAAATAGCAATATTCTCAGCGATTTTGAATGTCAGGTCCTTGACAAGAATCTATAAAGGGACCGGCAGTATACACAAGTCAGGGGTAGGTTTTACTAGGTGAAATCCACTTACTTGATAAGTTCTCATATATAAATTTTTATACATTCAAGTAGCTGAAAAAAGTCAATGTACAATCTGGTAAATTTTACGAGAAAAGACACATAATTTGATCTAATATTATAACAACTGTAAGAAATTGAGTGGCCTATGATTTTTCATGTTAAAGTCTTAAGGGAATTGAAAAGCTTTTATAAATATATAACTGGAAATACTTGTCAATTGTACATTTATAAACTGGACATTCTTCTGCCTTGGGGAAAGCCCCGGATGTAAATTGTCCAAATGTGTTTAAGACTCCTTTGCCTATTGTTACTGACTGGACTGAAATCTGTTTTTTGCAACTCATGACAAGTTTACATATTTTGTGTGACTGTTAATACTGAATTCTGAACCAGAGAAAGGTTGACTCTTTACTCAGGAATCTTTGTGTATTTTGTGGTCCTTTCTAAGGAAGAGCATGTGTGTAATTAAAGCACAGAAAAAAAATAAGCATCTCTTTTTGGCTAAAAAGGAAGTAAAAAGGCTTGCTTAGCATCCTATGGCTTTTTAAAGTTGCCAAATAGCTCTTCCATTCACCTTGTTGGAAGCACAAACTCATCTCATGGATGCATGAGGTGTATGTTCTATGTAAAGACATGAGGAATGATCCCATTTTCTATCGATACTAATGTGGCAAAGGTGATGGTCATGATGGCTGTTTAAAAACTTAATGGCTAAAGAAAAAAGGGGCCTTAGAAAATAAGAAGGTGATACTTTTGTAAGGAAAAAATATATTCATCATAACCATCAGGCACCAAGAATGGGAAATATCTTTAACTTTAAGGAGTTCTTGGGTAGAGAAACTCTTGAACAGCAGCTCTAATGTCTTATCTGGTATATAAATTTTTGTGAGGAAAAGTTGCAGTGCAGAGAGTCCAGAAATATTGCTAACAGTATATGGAGAGAAATTAAGTTAACTTCTTTGAAAAACCATGGAATATTGGGTACTGAGGTAGGTACCTGAGCCTGAGAAGTTTATCGAGAGAGTAGTTGACTACAATCTAGCTGCCTGCTGGAGGGTCAGCATAGAACCGGAAGGAGATCTGGTGGATCTCATTCAGCATGGGCATTTCTGTGTGATGGTAAAATGGGTGGCTCGCTGTTGACCTTCACATCTTTTCAGAGAGACCAATGAAATGCTCTAATTTAATTGTGTCTAGTTATTTCACTATTGACATGATCCTGCAATTATATCACAAAGATAACTCTGTGCTCTAACCATATATTCAATGAGTGGCTATGTGAGAAAAGACTCCGTTCACCCTAAGTGGTTTCCTTATCAATGTCAAACTGACCATTTAATGCCTCTCTCTTCTTATCTCTGATACAATTAGAAAGAAACAAGGAAGAAAGGGCCTAAGAGAGTTTTTCCTCACCCTCCTTATGTGTATGGTTGGGATCTATTTTCAGTTGCTTCTGATGTGCCTTGTTTAGTGTTCTTGGATCTACTTGTCTTCTACTAGTTAGGTCAGCCTAAGTCTGCCATTGTGGCTGGACTCCTTGATGTTCTAATTTCTTTTGTCATTATTGCCAGGGGACTGTATCTACATTTGTGTTTATCTTTGTTCTAATATTTTGCTCATCTTCCAACTTTTCTCTTGAAACCATCTGAAAATTTTTCCCATCCGTCTTTTCCAAAAGTATTTCTTAAGACCCAATCACAAAAACAGTATGGTAGCTTATGGGGCTATGGAGATACTCCCTTCAAAGGAACCTCTTCTTTTCTGGAAAGAGGAAGACAGTAAATTAGGAAATTTGTGTTTTATAATAAGAGGGCTAAGAAAGGGGACGCTGAGCACTTCTGATAATTATGGGAAAATGAACTCTGGCTTTGTTCCCACCATTTTGTTTTGACTGGGCCCTGTATTTAGTGTTTTAATCACTGGGACCACACTCTTTGAGAAAGGCTGAATTGGGGCTTGGCCTCCAAGAACTCAAGCAGAACCCATTGGCCTGAATGCCTGTTCCCGTCTAGAACCACACCCTTGGGGTGAGGCCAGCGTGGCTGAGCCCTGGGGCCAAGGAGTGGGAAGCCAACATGTTCAAGGCAGCCTTTGCCTCCATGTCAGTCTTTGCTTATGACAATAAAAATGATCAAATGAACCTGTTTTTTATATTCCTATTGGCAGGGACCATGTGTCATGTTGTTTTTGCCCAAATCACATTTTGAAAAATTTTTATTTATTTTTAGTGGCCAAGTTTGAAGCCTGAGAAATTGAGTCTTGAGTCAAGAAACTGAAATGAGCTTTAAGGGCCTATTATTTGACGTAAGATTTGTGAGTGATGCCCACCAGATTCAAGGTTCTACAAAATTCAGGAGTAAAACATATTGGTTGACAAATAAAGATAATGAATTCTGAGAATTTAGAAAAAGTCTCCTTATCCACAACATAGCTGTCCAAACAACTTGAGCCAGTTTAAATCTGTTTTAATTTACTTTTTAATAAATAAATAGGCTATAATGGGAGCTAACCACAGTTTGGCCACCTCCCTTGGTATAAAAATGGTTGTGGACAGGTTGTTTGTCTCATGCAAGTGTCCACACAGCAGCAGATGTCTGTGTGGCTGCAGTGAGTTCCCCTAAACTTTTTTTTTTTGTCTCAGGGAAAGGTAGGTGGAGGTTGGAGAAGCAGTTCGAGGAGGGAGGAGTCTCCTGTGCTTTCAGAATTTGTTTTCCCTTTTGCAAAGGCTGTTGAAGTGAGTTGCCATCTTGGTGAAGCGTGATCAGGCTGTGGGAGAACCGGCTGCCATTTTGTTTGGAAGGAAAGGAACCATTCTAGAAGCTTCTTTATGTTCAGAAGGTAGAGTGGAGAGGAATGGAGTCAGCATCTGCTATAGTTTGTGTTGGAAACCTGTGTTGGAAGCTTAGTCCTTGGTTCAGTACTACTGAGAGTGGTGGAAACTTTCCAAGGTTGGGTCTGATGGGGTGTTTTAGGTCATTCACATGTGTCCTCTAAGCAGTGGGTGGGACCATTGTTTCTTCTTCTGTCTCTTTCCTGCCCCAGTATTGAGGTGATGGCTTTGTTCTGCTATGTTCTGCTGCCACTGTGTTCTGCCACAGGCCCAGTGCATGGAGCTGATCCATTGTGAACTGAAGCCTCCAAAATGGAGCCACTGTTGGCCTTTTCTCTTTATAAATTGATTACCTCAGGTATCTATTGCTGTAATGGAAACCTGACTGATACAACATCATAGAGAAATTCTCTAAGCTCATTTTATCTCTTTTTGTTTCCAATCCATGCTGGAGATTCTCCCTTCTTTATTTTTCAAATGCTGCTTTTTATGTTTCAATTTCCCTCTTAAACTATGATTGAACACATTTATTTTAATTGTTTTAAGAGTGAGAGGGTTGTAGGTGCTGAATCTCACAGCTGACCCTTACCATAGCTGCCTTTTCAAACCTCCCCCACGGTTTCAGTCTCTTGTGCCTTTGTGTTCATTCATTCTGAAAATTTAACTCCAGCTGCAATGGAAATGTCTATCTATCTGATAGTTATGTCTATGGCAGCATCCACAAAACACTATTTCTCATTTCTTCTTTTCTATCTAGAGTGACCCCCAACCCTGAATGTGTATTTTCTGGTTGGAATAATGGAACAAACTGATTGGTTTGGAATGGGCTTGGAATCTCAAAAACTAGAAACATCTTCTGGCCATTTTGGGCAAGTTACATGGTGCTGTAGCACCCCCAGGACTCTGAATCTGATCAAGATAAGAAGCATAGGGCAGTTGAAAGGAATCACATGAATTCTGAAGCATACGGGGCAGACAAAGCCCAGGTTTCCCTTGATAGGTTCCCCCAGGTCCTGATTATGAGCATAACGGTGGTTAACTTTTGCTCTGAAACTAGATGTACACCATGGTAACCTGTGTGACAATTCACATTATGTCAAAAGAAAAACTTTCAGGACAGTCACAGCTTTGTAGTTTCAAAAATCTTGTTACAAATCAGAAATAAATGATTTTTTTTATGTTTAAGAAAAAATTCTCATGACTTCTGTGGTCTCTATTGTATTTGGACAGTACAGGAAACTATGTTTCAAAATATTTGATGGGTTTCCATCTTTGTTCTTTTCGGCTTATTTTTTCCTAGCCCAATCCTGCGTATGTAACACCATGCAACCTAAGAGGGAAGGAAAAATGTACAATATACGAAAAGTAAGCTGGTAAAGTAGAGCTATGGGCTTCTAAAGAGAGCTCAAGGTGAGTCCTTAAGAAGTTCGCCTTTTTATTTTCCAGGGACTGTGGTCTGTGAGGCACCTAACAACAAACTGGATAAGTTCACGGGCGTCCTCTCCTGGAAGGACAGCAAGCATTCGCTCAACAACCAGAAGATAATCCTGAGAGGCTGCGTCCTGAGGAACACCGGCTGGTGCTTCGGGATGGTTATTTTCGCAGGTACAGCTCAGGGCCTGGGGCCCGATCTAGGGATTCCTTGCAGTGCACGGCAGCACAGTCTGCGGGTCTCCAAGTTCAGATGAGCAGATTCCATCCGAATGTTGCTCTGGAGTTGAGTTTGGAGAGAAGGGTACGAGGGGAAAACCCACCGTCCCATGACCTGGACATCTTGAACTTGGTCTGGAAGGTGTGGGGCCCGCATGGCACAGTGAGCTCCAGATGCCTGCTGTTGCATTTCTGTCTCTTTCATCACAGCTCAGGCATCCCTGCCAGCCTGTGGATTAATCAACCCGCCTCTACATGGGGGAAGAGGATGAAAGAAAGTTCTTTGCATTGTTCCTCATATTGTAGTTTGCAAAGGTCAAGCAGCTCTTTTGGGAAAGCTTTCTTGGAGATCCTGCAGTCAGTTCTGTTTCTATTCCCTAGCTGTTTCTACTATGTGTAAACAGACCAGCGGGATGTGGAAAAGCCGTGTGTGATGGGACTTGGGGGTCGGGCGGGGAGGGGATGCTGCCTGCCCTGCTTGTCTGCCATTTTTGCTTTCTCTGCTTTATTTTATGGATCTGAGGCTGCATTGTCCGGCTAAGGAAGCTTACGGTAGCACCATTTCATAAAGCCACTCAAACTGAACTCATGGCTTCAATTGCCAGCCCTTGATTTTTCAAATCCTGTTTATTGTGACACCAAATTAAGATGTGTTTTGGGTCTGCTGATTATATGCGTAATCAAAACTGGAATGTTTTTCTTTGCTGACTTTCCTCAGCAACAACAAAATGTTCATTAAAGACTCCAAAGTGTTCCAAAGCTAGAAAAGTCCTCCCAATTGCTCCTAAATACTCTCAGCTGTGGGCGTGAGCAAGCTTTTGCTGCTCCAGGCATAGCCATTGGAAGGACTTGGGAGATCCCTAGAAATGAGGCATACAGCACTTTCATCTGGAGATGAATCGAGCTTTGCGATTCTTTCATCAAAGGCTTTTATTCTTTAGTCAGGGAAACAAACCTATGATTATTTATTTCCTTACTTGCATCTTTCTTGCTGAGAAACAAGAGGAGAGGCTTGTCCATAAACTTCCTTCCACCTTCCCACCTGATGAAAGGGAGAATTCTTCCAGGTGTCCTGGTGGGAAGACCCTCCTGGTTTGCCCTGTCAGCCTTGTCTTGGGGATGTGGTGGGGAAATTTGCGTTTGGAGGATTTTGTTTGGCAGGGCTAATGCAGGTCTCTGGTACTGTTACATCCTGCGATGCTAGGACAGCTGTTGTGACCAATGAGGAGCCTTCATAAGATTGTCTCCATGGGGAAATGGTGCCACAGAAGAGAAGTAGGAACGGGGCTGGGGTATAGCTCAGTGGCGTGAGCGCCTGCCTGGCAAGTGCAAGGTCCTGAGTTCAATTCCTGGTACAAAAAAAAAAAAAAAAAAAGAGAGAGAGAAGTAGGAAGGTAAATTGAACAGGTCTCCTCCGCAGGAGTGTGACAGAAAGCTCACAAGACTTGGGTTAGGCAGATGTGGGTATACCAGCTGCAGGATTTCATCCTTTGTTACTCAAACTTTAAACATTGCTTCCTCTGCTGTGAGGTGGCATGACAGTGGGTATATGGATAAAGACAACGTGGTGTTTATGCATAATGGAGTTACTACTCTGCCACAAAGAAGGATAAACTGGAATCATTTCTAGGAAAATGGATACACCCTGAGAGCATAAATTTTTTTAAAGATTAAAATAACCAACAAAACAACAATGAAGACAAAATCAAAACAACACAACAACAAAAAGGATACATGATCTCAAAACAAAATGATAGGAATTTACAGTTGTTGCTACATTACATACTGTTATCTTCAGCGAAGTTGCTTAGTCCACCAGATATAAGAATGTAAGACTGACAAATCTAAGAGGGTAACAAGTAATAAAAAAAATTTAAAATGATGCAGAACTTCACCATACAAGATAGTAGGAGTTCTTCTACTACATACTGTTGCTTTCAGATCAGTCGTTCTGATTACTAGATTCAAGCATGCAAAATTGGTCACGAAAAAAGAAAATTTTAAGCATTGACTATTCCTTTCAATAAATCACAGACATTAGCAATATACCTATCCCAGCTATCCTTGTATTTACATATAAATTTTGTTCTTCATTTTAAAGAGAAAGGAAAAAAAACCAAAATAACAAAAGCAAATCCTTAAACAAAACAGCATAGAGAACAATACAAATGATACAGAATTTCAAAACATGGTGATAGGATATTAACAATGGTTGTTATATTACATAATGTCATCTTCAAAATGGTTGCACACATAACCAGATAGAGGCATGTAAGACTGATCAAACAATTATACATTAATAGTTCCTTTCAATAAACCAACAGATATTAGTAGTACAATTATCCTAGCTATCCTGTGTGTACAGATACGTATTTTTTTCTCTTCCTTCTGCCTTTTTCCTCTCCCCTCCTTCACCCTAGTTCCGAGAGCATAATGTTAAGTGGAATATCAGACACACAAGCTTAAATATCATATGGTTTCTTTTATATGAGAAACTCAAAGTATAAATAAAGAACCAAATGAATGGGAAATGGTGATCTTTTGCAAAAGGGAAGAGGACCAAGAGATGGACGGGAGGGGTGGGGGTGCAAAAAGGATTGTGATGTGCTTCATTCATGGACCGACTCCCCATAGTGAGGGTAGTCATTACGTGCTGCGGACATGGACTGATAAGATAAAGAAGAGAGCACATTGCAAAGGCTCCCTAAGATGCTGCACCCAGAGAGGATTCCTGACCAGTGTTCCTTTCTTCCCTTGGTGGGAGAGAGTGGGAGCTCCCTGTTCTTCTGTGATGGGTCCTAGATATTCATTGCTGGAGATCCAGCAGGTGGGCATTTACAAAGCAGGGCATGCCTCCATTGACTTTGTCTGGGCGCCAGAGGTAATAGAACCCTTAAGTAGCAAAATGGCAAGCAGAGGAACTGATGCCCAGTCTTGCTCATGTCAGAGTTGAACAGATGAGTGTCTCGATCTCCTAGGCCTTGGCACCTTTGGTTGAGGAACTAGTTCCAGGTAAATACCTAGATGTCATCGCGGTGAATACAGAAAGCATTCTTTTTTATTATTATTCTATACCTACTTCTAAGAATTATACGGGAATATACTTGACAGATGTGGTTGACTTGACAAACCTGTAACTCATGAAGATCTAATATATATTGACAGCAGGCCACACTTCCTGGCACTGGCTTTCCTTTCTGCCCAGGACAGGGGTGAACCTTGCTTGTGAGACTCGGAGCCTCATTCCTTAAGTGGTCTTTCATGTCCAGTGCCATGTTGGTGCACATGGGTTTTGGTGCTGGTGTCCCCATCTGCGCCGCTGGATCTGCTGCCACCCTCTTCTAATGTTTCCTTTGCCTTGGAGGCTGACTTGTGTGGTCGACACTAATAGATTTCATTAGATTTTGGCCTCTAGTTGGACTCTGACTTGGGGATTCCTGGGAAGAGATCAAAGGGAGAAAGAGGATTAAGGCCACGGTATTTATTCCCCAGGCCACATTCTGGTGTGGTCACATCTGGCAGGCTGCATCCCTCAACAAAAGGTCATCAAAAGGCTGCAAACCCTGCACCCTCTTACCTTGGCGTCCAGTGGCAATCCATCCCTGTAGAGAGACTCTCCTGTAATTCTCCTTGTTCATCGTGTCATCTGTTTCCCGTTTGGATCCTGAAAGGGACACAGTCTTAAATGGGCATTGGTTGCTGACTCAGCTAGGTTTACAAATAGCAATCAAGAGCAAGACCTTTAGAATTAGTTATATCAAGACTTGATTTGTGACTAGACTAGGTCAGTTTTGAGCAAGTTAAATCCTTAAACTTCACTTTCATTATTAGTGAATGGAGGATTATTATACCTAATTGGCTTATTGTAATTATTAGCTGATGTGAAAGATTAAAAGCACATAGGTACTTTGCCTAAAACAATAGATGTTCAGTAAGTTAACTAATTCACTAAAATTTAATGATTTAGTGTCTATATATGAGGCATTACCATGTGTATCCACTGGGGGTTGAAAACATGATCAAAATCCAATGCGGTCTCTCTACTCATGAGCCCTCAGTCTCACAGGAGAAAAAGAGTGAATCTCAGATAACCACAATCAAGACTGTAATCTCAAAGTGAGATAAGAGCTCTGCAGAAAAAGAACAGAGGCTGTAGGAGTAAATGATGATGGAGGAAGCTGATTAGACCTGAGCTGGAGGGAAGGTTCCCTAATAAATGGGCACTGAGGTTTCTAGGAGGAAAAGAGGACAAAGAGGTGAAGTGTGTAAGGAAAGGAAAAACCTAGCTGGCCAAAGCCCTGTGACAGAAGTAAGGATGTTGAAGTAAAAACTTTGCTCAGGCCTGTGGGGCATAGAGCACAGAGGACAAAGATGAAGACGTGACTGTGGACATGAAGCTGGGCTGGACCTTGTGGTTGGTACCCAGGATTTTGGTCTTCTTTAAGAGCTTTGGGGACCCTTCACAAGTTATGGTCAGGTGGGGTGTGTTCATGCTAAATGTGAAAGTTTCACGCTTGCATATATGGCATTTGTAATGCCTATAAATATCGGTCAGGTCCTGGAAAGAGTACATGGCTAGGGTGTGAGGAGAAGGAAAAATGTTGGTTGGACTTTGGGGCATAGCGGATACAGGGAGATGAAGTAACTATATTTTTACAGTTGGGAGATGATGGTACTTTGGGTTAGATGGACACTATGGACATGGAGAAGACCAGAAGCTTTTTAGAGAACTGAACTGACAAGTTCTGATGCCAGAGGTGAGGATGGGAGAGGTATCAACTATGACTCGTAGGTGTCCCTAACCACCACAATGAGGTGGATGGTGGGGTTATTTTTTTATTATTATTTCAAAGAGAAAAAAACAATAAAAATGATACAGAATTTCAAGACAAGATGATAGGAAATTAACAATGGTTGTTTTATTGCATATTGTTATATTGCATATTGTTCAGATTACCAGATATAGGCATGCAAAATTGATCAAACAATTATTAACTGTTCCTTTCAATAAACCAACAGAAATTAGTAGTACAATTATCTTAGCTACCTTGTGTATATATATATATGTTTTTTCCTCTTCCTTCCTTCCTTCCTTTCTTTCTCTTTCTTTCTTTTTCTCTTTCTTTCTTTCTTTCTTTCTTTCTTTCTTTCTTTCTTTCTTTCTTTCTTTCTTTCTTTCCTTCCTTCCTTCCTTCCTTCCTTCCTTCCTTCTTTCTTCCTTTCTTTTCTTCTTTCCCCCATCCCAGTTGTTCTTTTCCGTTGAGCAGTTTCTTTCCCTTTCACAGTATCTATTGTACCTTTTGGATTTTATTTACTCTTTCAGTTGCTCACACTAGGGAGATAATATGATGTTGACACATGTGGATCTGGTTTATTTCACTTATGAGTATGGTCTCTAGTTGCATCCATTTACCTATAAAAACCTCGAATTTAGCTTTCTTTATAGTTGAATAATACTCCATTGTATAAAAATATCATGTCTTTTTTTATCCATTCCTCCACTGATGGGCATTTGGGTTGTTTCCGAGATTTAGCTATGACAAATTGTGCTGCTGTAAATGGGTGCACATATATCACTGTGGTATGTTTTTAATTCTTCTGGAAAAATACCCAAAAGGGGAATAGCCAGATCAATTGGGACCTCTAGTTTTGTGAAGACTCTCCACACTGATTTCCACAGTGGTTGTACCAGTCTACAGTCGGTGGGGCTATTTCTTGAGATAAGGAACCTGGAAGGAGATTAGCAGCTGGGTTGGACAAGGACCACTGAAGGGGTTTTAGAGATCCAAATGGAGATGTCACATAGGCAACTAAATACACAGGCATAAATACAAGGGTTGAAGGCTCACAGGAGCATGGAGCTGGAGGTCCACATTGGGTCTGTAGATGGTATTGAAGGTGTGGTCCTAAGTAAGATTGTGCAGGGCAGGTGACTGAGTAAGAAGAGATGATCTATGCCTGAGTTTAAAGGGATCTCAGTATTTAACATCTGGGCAGAGGAGTGAGCATCAGCGATGACAGAGTTGGAGCTACCAAAGAAACAGGAGTAAAAGCAGGAGAACATTGTCACACAGAAGCCGAGGCAGAGTGTGTTTCAGAGGGAGAGAATAGCCAACCGTGTTGAAGGCTGCCGAGGCCAGGAAGTGATGGAGGCTATTGATGATGATCACCAGATGTGTGGTTGTAGAAACTGGCCCCAAAACTAGGCTGAGTAATGACTGAGATGAGGAAATAGGGGTTGTTGAGTATGGAAAATTCCTTCAAGGTCTTTGACTCTGAAGGGAAGAAGTGAGGTATATATAAACATCTGTGGGTGTGTTTAAATAAGTGCTTACCAATGTTTAAGGTGGATTTCTTATTAGTCTGTGTAAGTTCATATGCAGTAAGAGATATAAATTTTTAGCACCAAACTGCTCTGTTAATGTTTTAGTTTTAGGAATCCCCAACTTTATTTGTTCTTTGTGACCTTCACCTCAGAACCAGTCTTTCTCACCTTCATTGTCCATATGTCCATACGTCCACATGTCCAGAGTAGATGTCCAGAGGAGATGTCTAGAGAAGATGTCCAGAGGAGATGTAGTTCAGTGGTAGAGTAGCAGCCTCGCATGTGCATGGTCCTGGGTTCAATCACCAGCACTGCAAAAACAAAAAGCAAAGAAACCATATGCAACCTAATGGCCCTTGCTCTTAATACAAATTAAATTACTTTGAAAACTGTATTTTCTCTTTCAGAAACATGGGTATGAATAAGAGTTAAAAACAATAAGAGCACATAATCTAATTATTTCAAAGTTGTTACTAATTTTCTTTGCAGGTCCTGACACTAAACTCATGCAGAACAGTGGTAAGACAAAGTTTAAAAGGACAAGCATTGACAGATTGATGAACACACTAGTGCTGTGGGTAAGTGATGTAACAAAATTAGGTACTACCACTGGTCATTGTTATCTTAATATATTTACTTTGTTTTTCTGGGCATTCCCTCAGAAACTACATTCTCCTTGTGGAGTTCTGCTGCCTTCTACTTCCGAGGTTGTGATGGATTCTCAACAAACAGTAGAATGTATCATGAGAGGTAGATTAGTGCCTGTGGAGGCCTTCATGGTCTTGAAATTCCCTCTATTCCAAGGATTTGTGTTTGAAAAAAACCATAATTTTAAAGGCAGTTTGGTATTTTGGTTGTGTTACCTTTGCTCAGATCCTCTCTCCATAGTTATGGTAGGGTTGGCTTCATTGAAGAATGACCCATGCTGCTAGAGAGGGCCCTAGACTCTGAAGGATCTTCTGTCAGGTTATTGATTTGCTGTAGCTATACAGAGATTCTTAACACTCTTTAACAAGTGCCCGTGTAATTCATTTTGCACCAGGCTCTGTAAGTTATGTGGCTGAATCTGTCAATCAAGTCCCAACTTTCCTCCTTCATGGAGGTACCTAAACCTCTTTAGTTCATAGTTCTCTCTCTCTCTCTCTCTCTCTCTCTCTGTGTGTGTGTGTGTGTGTGTATGTCTCTTTCTTAGGATTTTTTTTCTCCCTTGAATTCTTTGAAGTGATTTTTCTCTCCCACTCACTTGCCTGATACAGTAAGATATTTCTCACATTCACTCTCTTGCTTGTTAATCTTGTGCTACCTTATATTGCTGATATGATTATTATCTGACTCATTGCTTTGTCTCCTTACAGAGGCATTAAGTTTGAAGACAATGATTTTGAAATATGGGAACAGTGGTGTTGAACCATGTTTCCCTATGCACCTCTACCAGCAAGCTTAAAAAATCTGAGCTCAATGTATATATATTTGTTTTGTTTTGTTTTGTTTGTTTGTTCAATTGACATGAAATAGTTGGATCTTGAATAAGGAAAGAAAGAAATTAATACTTGCTGGGTACAAGATATTAGCCAGCCTGCGTTTTGGTTTAAGTACCACCTGTAGACCTGGCTTTCCTCCAGCTGTACTTGTACCCTTGGGGCAGAGTTCACGTACTTTTCCTACAATTCCCAATTTAAATGGCCCTAATCCCACTTCTGGGGCTTGCATAAGAGTTCTGTATGTGTTCCGCACAGAGTAAAATCATTGGATGTGAAGTAGGACCTATCCTAGCTCCTTGTAATAGAAAGTAAGTAATCTTTTGGGGACTTAGAAGGCAAGTCCATCATTCATTTATGACATTTAATGCCAAGTATCATCAACTTTAATGCTTTAAAGACAATCCAGTTCAATTAACTTATAGTACTAGTCATTAATCAGTGGCTACCATGATACAGGTACTCAATTGGCAAGACACTGGTGATTCACATTTCTACTCTTCTCTAATATATAGTTTCTTAATAAATTTTATAAAGTTTTCCCTGATTTTGTCTTCTTACACCCTTATTTTATTCAGGAGACAATAAAGAGGAAACTGGTTCTAGAACTTATGATATTCTTTCTTGGAGGAAAATGAAAATAGAAACAAACACTTCCCTATTTTTGAGCCTTAATTTATGACAGTGTGACACTTAGAACGAAGTCCCTGCATCATGTTTTTCCACTCAGGTCTTACCTTGTTTGCTGGGTTGGTGTCTTTCCTTTCCAAGGAGAGGATTTCAGACTTGCAAGTCACTGACTTTGTTGTCTGTAATCACTGTGCTTCCAAAATGTGTATCTTTCTAATCTTGATACTAATAACAGTGCAATCATCTGCTAATAATTTCCAAGACATTTCTCCCAACTTTAATTCTGTATAGGAAATTCCATATGCAGTATGATAAAAAATTTGTTGAATGTTTAAATTTTAAAAATTACTGCAGTAAAGAACACATGGCTGCTAAGCTTCCCTAAAAATATTCTCTTTATTTCAAACACACTTCTCCCATCATTCTTGCCACTTTCAGAAGCACTTCTGGAAGTCCTCTTTCACGAGTGTCTTTAGTTGTACTATTCTGGCTGCCTGAATGTTTTGAATTAATTTCCTTTCTATGGTCATTTTGAGTTTGGGGCAGAACCAGAAATCACAAAATGCCAGATCTGGTGAGTGAGGTAGATGAGGACACAGCATCATGTTAGTATGAGCCTGCCTTTCATTGACAGCAATTGGCAGGAGCGTTCATGTTATTTTCAGTCACACCTTGTAAAGACACTCACAAAGGTGAGAGGAAACATTAGTAGTACTCTTCCTGGGCCATAGATGTAAAGTGAGGTTTTCTAGACCAGTCAGGGCCATTGTCTTCTTTGCTTAACCTACTTAAACATGTGCACTTATCACAAACTGAGGATGTGAAGTTGTTAGCCTATGTGATCATGGGTGAGTTAGAGTCAATTCTTTGCTTTGTTTTATTTTGTTTTGTTTTTCATCTGTAAAGTATGGATAATGATTGTTTCTAACTCAGTTAATGGGAGATTGAGAAAATGTGTGTCAAATATTTAGCAATGTTTCTGATGTAAAAATGTTAACTTTTGTTCATATGGATTAATGATAAGAAATAAGAGGTTTGTATAACTTGATGTTCAGATGATGATTTCTTTGAGTTAGAAGTATAGTTAGGTCATGTTCAATGACTAGTTTTGGGTTCAAGTTGACCTTAACCAGATTTCTATTCTTGTTTCAGATTTTTGGGTTTTTGGTATGCTTGGGAATTATTCTTGCAATAGGAAATTCTATCTGGGAGAATCAAGTAGGAGGCCAGTTCAGAACTTCGCTCTTTCGGAATGAAGAAAAGAAGAATTTCGTCTTCTCAGGATTCTTAACGTTCTGGTCATACATTATTGTTCTTAATACAGTTGTGCCCATTTCATTATATGTGAGGTAAGATGAGAGTTTATACTGTCATGAAGCCATTTCATCAGATGTTTTGTGCAATCACTTTTATTTTTTTAAAAATTATAACAGTGAGATAAATGTCTTGATCTGACTGCTTATGACCTGCAAAGTCTCCTAAAATGAGACAATTAAGCTGTTTAATCAGTTTAACTTTTACATTTTCAAATTACAATAAATGCATTTTATTTTGTTCTTGATTTGATTTGGTTTCTTAGAAATGATTTCCTATAGAATATATGGATTGTAATATAATCTCATGCAACCTGATCAGCTAGAATTGGGTTGGCTTGGGGGTAAGAAAAAGAACGTTTGGGGAGATCTACATTGATGGGACCTTTACACTACTAGTCTGGCTGCAGATACCTGGGTGTAGGTGTAGCTCTGTAATACCAGGCAGTTACTTCACTTCCGCTATGGGAAAGGATGGAGAAAATGATAGCTCTTTTGCATAGGAGTGTATGTGGACTGAATAAATTTCTGTAAAGCTCTTAGAAGACTGCTTGACACATTATAAAAGCTTAATGAATATAATTTTTCCCATTATTAGTAGTGAGTACATAAAGGAGTTAAAACATAGTAGGGAGTGCTTACTGGCTGTTAGATAAGAAGTGTGATTCATAATTTCCACTACATCTTGACCTAAAGATTACAGATTTAGAACTAAAGCAAACTAGAACTAAATGGTCTTGCTGCCTCTATTTGTCTGTCTGTTATTCTCTCTCTCCATATACACACGTTTGTCTTTAGTATACGTATACACATGTATGTGTATATATATATACATATGTATGTGTGTGTTCATGTCTGTCTTTGATAAGACTGAGGAGTTGGCCCCGGAATCTGCACCTGACACCTCTTCTGTCTTCTTCTCCACTGACTGGGCCAGATAGTCCCAGACACTGGAGCAGAGAGGACTTGGTTGTTCTTCTACACCTCTCATCAGCAGGACTTTAACAATACCCCAAATCACCAGCTCTGGTCTCCAGTAATTTTTGCTAGCCTCTCTTCCTCTCTTTCTCCAAGCCTAGCTATGATGAAGCTAAAGGAGCTTAATGCATACCATTTCCCCATGTTTGGACGGTGGTCAGGAAACCAAAATATCACATTATGGGAAACTGACCTGAAGCAGCAGCCTGTGGCTGCAACACCACAAGTCTCTCTGGTTCTGGAGCTGTGGTCGGAGTGGCTCTGCTTAAACTGTGTCCTCCTGGCTCATCTTCGATTCTGAGTACCTCCCATGCTTGAAGCCAATTATAAAGTCTGTAGTAAATCCTGCTTTTTGCCAGAGGAGCTATGGCCAGCTTTTATGGCTTTCCTTTTATGTCCCAAATGAATAATAAATGAGCACGGTGGCTTGCCATCCGCTCATGTGCAGTTTCATATGTCCTTATGAAGAAAGTCTATTCTGTATATGTTCCTGCTTTGAAGTGAATTGATGTGCTCTCATTTAATGATTTGAAAGACTGATTTTATTTTTTAGAGGCTAAGGCTACGTTGTCAGGTTAACATTCCTTCTACTTCCAATGTGCAGGCATAGCAGAAAACCTATTTGCAACAGTCCAAGCCCAGTTTCTTGTCTTGACACTGCAAAGAATAGCTGTGTGACCTTGGAGAAAGTACATGGCTTCTCTTTGTGCCTCCCTATGTCTGTCACATGTGTGCTGCTTTATAAAATGAAGGAATTATAATAATTGATTTTGGGGCTCCTGTCTGCTCCAAATAATAAATAATACCACCTTATACACACATATGTGTATATGTAGTTATATAATAGAAAAATAAATATATCTCTTTGAGATCAGCATAGCACTTTATTGTATAAACCTATTTTCTCATACATGCTTGTTATAATTTTCAAAGTTGCTCACTGACAGTCTGTAGTGTACCATAAGATATGATGCCTTACAAAACTCTATGGAGTTTAGAATATTTTATATAAAGTACTTCCTTATCTTTTCTCAGGATTATGGAGCTAGTTAGGGACATATCAGGTTAATAATACCCCTTAGTTATTGAGGGCTGATCAGGTCCGCAATCTCCTAAACAAGTATCCAGTGAAGGCTAAATAAAAAGAGGCAAATGGAATGATTTAAGGGCTCCACGAGGATCAAAGCCCTCTCACAGAATTCAAGATTCTCTCAGGGCTAAGACGAAGACCATTTCTGGGTGGCCTGTATTTATTTGGTTATCAGGAGAAGGGAGGGGAGTACTCAAGAAGGGCAGAATCACTCAAGGACTTCTCCAAGTAAGGTGGTATTAAGTTAATCCATCCAGGAGTGAGATGCCTGAGGCTACAGTCTTTATCTAGTTGAGGTTGGATCCAGGTGTCCTTGGCTGTGATCTCGTCTTATCCTTTGAGGCTTTTCAGCTTCATCAGCTGTTACAGGCCTCAGTAGGGATCAGTGACTCACAGAGGTTACTTACTATGAGTCCACTGCCCGTCTCGACAAGGAGCCTAGGCCTTGGACAGATTCACAAGTACACATGGAAAGTTAATTGATTAAGTCCTGCTCAGGGCTGCTTCACAGTGGTCTCCATCAAGGTCAGAACCAAGATCCAAACCTACGACTCTGACAAGTGTCACCACATTTTGCCCTTGTCCCCAAGCTGTGCTTGGTGTATTACTCAGCAAAGAAGTCCCCAGAGAAAGAAGAGGCTGCTTCTCTCCTTGGTGGAAGGGAATAGTGCTAATGAGGAAGAAATGTGAAATTTCCCCCTTAAGTGAAGTCACTCTGATCTCAGCTGGAAGAAGGAGCATTCCAAGGAATGTCAGGTTGCTCCGTCTTGAAGACTGAGGTGGGGAGTAATATAACTCTAGGCTTTTGGAGGGCTTCAGGCCTTCTAACGCAAGCTTCTGCTAGGCTCCTGACTGAGTATGCATGACAAATTAGCATCATATATCACTGGAGGAGAAAAGTGCAGAGTTTACTTTGAATGGCTAACAATTCCAGGTGAGAAAGGCATTTATTTTGATAGGATATTTTATGCTGTCAGTTTGTTTATCTGTTGTGTTAAGACACAACCAGCTACAAAGATTGTTTTTGTACATTAAGAAATGCAGCCATTGTTCTGGCAAATTAGCTTTGAGTGTCTTTGCTGAAGTTTTAGGAGCTCATTTCCCTGTTGCTTGTTTTGCTTCAGCATGGGCAGTACGCAAAAGCTCCACACTCAGAGCCGTCCTAACGAGGCTCTCTCTGAACTTTTTCTCCTTCCCTTGGCTCTTCTAAAAGGATGGGTAGCATGTTCCACAGTGTGAGAAAGCCCTCTTTCTCAAACAATCTGTGCACTCATCTTCTTAGTAGTATTTTAAGCTGTAGGGGTCTAAATGAATTTTGAATACTTCCACTGGTTTGTACTATAACACAGGAGAATCAGATTTGGATATAGTCATCTTGCTTGAGTTTCTAGATTTTCAGATCATTGAAAACTTCAAATAATTTGCACAAAAATAGTCACCCTTCTCCTTGGAGGACACATCCCAAGACTCCCTGGTGAGTGGATGCCTAAAATTGCAGATAGTTTTGAGGCCTGTAAATTCTGTTTTTTCTATACTGTGCACACATAACAATGACAAAGTTTTATTTATAAATTAGGCACAGTAAGAGATTAACAGTAATCATTAATAAGATTTAACCATGATAATACACTATCATGAAAGTTATGTGAATAAGGTCAGTCCTTTTCATTCTCAAAATGTCTTTTTATGGCATCCTCACCTTTCTTCTTGGATGATGAAGATGACATGGTGCCTGCATGATGAGATGAAGAGAGATGAATGATACAGGCATGTGATGTCACTTTAGGTTCCTGTGTCAGGGTCCCTTGAACACAAGCACTGCAGTACCACAATCAGTCTGTTAACCGAGAAGGTAGCGATGTCACTGAGTGGGCAGCATATACAGCATGGATACACTGCGCAAGGGGATGATCCGCATCTCAGGCTACTGGGAGCAGACGATATGTGAGTCCATCATGCTACTCAGCACAAAATTTAGAGCATAAATTGTTTACTTTTGGAACTTTCCATTTAATATTTCTGGATGTCACTGTGGATAACTGAAGCCATGGAAAGTGAAACCTCAAATAAGGGGAAAATATTGCAAAATGTCATTGTTTAGGCTAAGTTTACATAGGCATTACCAAATACAGAGTCCCAGTCTTGGCTCTGTGGCTAATTATTTGTGTGCTCCTGGCTTAGTCACTTAATCTCTCAGGTTTTAATGTCCTTGTTAGTGAAGCCAGTGTCTAGATGGCCAGGATTCATTCATTCAGCACTGCCTGGCTGCACACAACAGGCACAGCTCCGTCCCAGACCTTTTGAGTGAAAGAAATTACAAAAAGTATGCAGAACCAGCCTAGCTAGCGAGTAATTTACAGAGGGGTGTGTGTGTGTGTATGTATGCGTGTGTATGTGTGTGTGTATATGTATGTGTGTGTGTATGTATGTGTGTGTATGTGTGTGTGTATATGTATGTGTGTGTATGTATGTGTGTGTATGTGTGTATGTATGTGTGTGTATGTGTGTGTGTTTGTGTGTGTAGGAGAGCAGGTCACAGAAATGTAAACATTACATGAAAATATATAAATAAATACATGCAGAGTATGACTTATCTGTATATGATTGTACATAGTGATACTGTGCTTTTAATTTAGGAGGAAAAAATTTTACCACACAAACATTTAAAAATGCACTGGAACCACACCATAAAAATAAGAAATGTGGACTTTCAGGAGTGGAAGCACAGACTTAGTACTAAGGAAGGGCTTAGGTGTCCTCCAGTCCATCTTTCTTAGTTTATGGATGAGAAAACCAAGACATAATTTCTTCTAAGGTTAGAAATAAACTTCAGTCTCTGCTATTATCATTGTTCTCTTATCTTTTTCTGAACACTTTTATTAATGTATAAAGAAAGTGAAATATCAGCCAACACAGAAAGACACAAAGTTGAAACTGCAGCAAACATGTAAAATATACAAGTGATCTCAAAAATCAGAAATACAATCTGTAAAACTCTTTGCAGCGTAATTCAGTTAAGTATCTAATTCTGTGAGCCATCTTTTCAAACAAGTAAAAGCTTTCTCTTAGACATAATAATTTAAAAAACTCCTCAGTAAAGGATATAGTATTATGGATATATGTGCAAAGCAAACTAAAGCAAAGCAAAACAAAACTAAAAACTCTTGTTTTTTTGTGTTTTTTGTTTGTTTTTGGTTCTGGGAATCGAACTCAGGACCTTGTGCTTGCCAGGCAGGCACTGTGCCACTAAGCTATATTCCCAGCCCTAAAACTCTTTACTGGTATAGGTACTTAAAAAAACTAGATTCCTAGGAAGATTTATTATTCTTTTTGAAGTTGTATTCAGCTTTATGAAATATCACTTCCTTTCAAATAATTAAGATTTACATAGATCTGAGAAAAACCCCAAACAAATTTTCTAAAAATCCCAATATCTTGATTTTAAAGTTTATTCAGATGAATATGTTACTTCCACCAGGAGGAATAAATGAATGTTTACAGCTAACAGAAGAGAATAAAGGTGCTTTGATCTCTCTCAGGTATTTCCAGGTTTCATAAAGCTGCAATGGTGAAAGCAAGAGATGCATTAAGTAATATATCATGAACAAAACTGAAATCCATAAAACAGTCTAGCGAATAGTTGCACGTGCTGTAGGAGGCATGCCAACCTAAAAAGGCTCTGTATTTAGCAAATAACTATGAAAAATCTTTCTATTTGTAAAAATTGAAATTAGCTTCATAGTCAATTGATTCCACTTGGAATAGAGAAGAGAATGTGAAAAAAATCAACAAAAGCCAGAACAAAACCACACATCTATGCATGTACTGTGTAATCTTGGCATAAACAAAGGCTGTTTACCCAAAACTCCTGAAACGACTATAAACTATTATCAGATTTGATCAGTTAAAAAGAGAAAAGTTCATTTCAAAAACTGAAAACAAAATGAAAAGACAAGGGATAAACTGGGTGGGATGCTTCCATTTTTTTTCTGGACAGAGATTTAATAGCTTTAATATCTATAGAATTTTTAAGAATCTATGAGAAAAATACTAATACCAGAATAAGAAAAATGAAACAGGCAGTTATATAAGTAGATAATTCCGAGGAGAAATGCAATTGCACAATAATTCCTTTTTTTATTTTAAAGAGAGTAGTAAAAGAAAAAAAAAAGAATAGCAGCATACCAACATCACAAACATAAACAAAGCAAAGCAAGAGCATTAAAAGTGATACAGGGTTTCAAAACAAAATGATAGGAATTAACAGTAGTTGTTATATTACATAGTGTTATCTGCAACTACGTTGCTCAGATTACCAGATGTAAGAATGGAAGATTGTTCAAACCATAAAAGAGAATAAAAAATAATTATTAGATAAAACATTAGAGATACTATAGAGTTTCACTAGACAAGATGGTAGGAACTCACCAATGGTTGCTCTATTGCGTATTGTTGTCTTCAGATCAGTTGCTCAGACTACTAGATACAAGCATGCAAAACTGATCAGAATATAAAAAATTTTAAGCATTAACTGTTCCTTTCAATATACCATCAGACATCAGCAGTACAGTTACCTCATATATATATTTTTGCCTTTCTTCTTTCTGTTTTCTTTTTCTCTTTTTTTGCCTTTCTTCTTTCTTTTTTCTTTTCTTTTCTCTTCTTTCTTCTTTTCTTTTTTACCTCACCCCAGTTGTTCCTTCCTTTGAGAAATTTCTTTCCCTTTCATATCATCTATTATACGTTTTGAGTTTTACTTACTCTTTCGGGTTCCTACACCAGGGAGACAATATGATGTTTACACATGTGGGTCCGATTTTGAACAATAAAATTTTAAAACAGTGTTCAGCTCACTGGAGAAGAAATGGCACTAAAAAGTACTAAGCTGTTCTTTGAATTGATAATTCTCCATCTTCTGGTGGTAGACACTTACATTGTCATAACCTTTTTGGAAGTCAGTTTGGCATTACATATGACAAGCATTGGAAGAACCTAATAGTGTGAACTTTTAGTCACAGAAATTCCATTTTTAAAGTTGAGAAGTTATAAATTATTATTAGAACTTGAACAACGCTCTTTTCCCAGTAAACAGGCAGAAGAGTATGCCCACACACCTCTGTTTTCACTTAGTAGCTATTATGATTTATTTGGTTAGTGCTTCATGGAGAGGTATGTAATTTTCTACCTCATTTTGCAAAGTAAAATCACATCAGCGTATTGGACAGAACACATTTCTTTAGACTAGACATAGGAGGTGCGATCAAAGAATACAATGAATATTTAAATTTAAAAATGTATTATAGTAAAAAATACATTACCACTAATCCCCCTCAAAATACTCCTCCTCACTTCAGATATACTAACTCCATAGTTTCTGCCATTTTCTGAAGCAGCTCTGGAGTCCTCTTTCATGAGTGTCTTTAGCTGCTCTGTCATACCTCCCTCGATGTTGTGAATCGATTTGAAATGTCTACATTTCATAGTATTTCATTTTATTTTATTTTTGAGACAGGGTTTCACTTTGTAATTTACGCTAGCTTTGAACTCACTATATAGCTTACGCTGACCGTAAACTTGCAGCAATCCTCCTGCCTCAGCCTCCCGAGTGTTGGGGTTATAGCCATCCATGCACTACCACACCTGCCTCGTGGTTATTTTGACTTTGGGAATGAGCCAAAGTTACATGGTGCCAGATCCAGTGAATAAGGTAGATCAGGGCACGCTGTCATGTTTTTATGAGTCTGACTTTCCACTAGATGTCCCTCAGCAGCAGCATTCATCTTATTTTTGATTGCATCCTATACAGACAAGATAGAGGACTTCCAGAATTGCTTTGGAAAGTGGGGGAAATGACGGGAGTAGCATGTTCAAAGCGAATGGGAGTAATTAGAGGTAGACGAATGGTGATGTGTCTTTTGTTGTAATGATTTTTAAAAGTTGGAGCGGTCATCATATATTTTGATGACACTGTATGGCAAACATGTTTAATAATAATTAGATTCCCCTAAGAAGTGGAAGGAGAGGGAATTAATATGCTACACAGAACTCTGCCCTGGGCTTGGGTACTGGACATTGAGCACTGTGGTACATTCCCAAGGCTTTCTACTGAGCCATTCCCATTGTTTCGTGGTGCTGCAAGAAAGTGACTTAGACCCTGAGGTTTATGAACAGATTCTGTCTGAAGATCACTAGGACCTTGGGACACCACGTCCACATTTTCTTCTAAACTCTGAGGACTCGGGCAGATTGTGTGCTTTCCAAAGCTTTGTGTGTTCTAAAGCTGATGGAGCATTTCTCTTTTCCCCTATTTTAACGGACTGCAGTATGGAGGTGATTCGCCTGGGACACAGTTATTTCATAAACTGGGACCGGAAGATGTATTACTCTGGGAAGGCGGCACCCGCTGAAGCTCGCACAACCACGCTCAACGAGGAACTGGGCCAAATTGAATATGTTTTCTCTGACAAAACGGGCACCCTCACTCAAAACATCATGACTTTTAAAAAATGCTCCATCAATGGGAGAATATATGGTAAGAGAAACAGTTCCCTTTTCTTAGTGACATTGTGGTTGTTCTTCATAACATCTAATAACAGCCTCCCTCCCCTGCCATCGCTGGCTTTCTTGTCTCTTCTTTAACGTGGACTCCACCAGCACCTGGCTTCGTCCTTGGCATGCGATGAACGCTCCCTGAGTATGGTAGTTACTGGATGTTTTCCGGACCATTTAGATGAAACTCTGGACTTGCTCTCCTTTATGGGTAGAAAATAGGTTTAGAAGTGGCCTGCTCCAAAGTCCCTCTCCGGGCTCATGCTGTGGGATTCTGTTCTCTGGCGGCCAGTAGACCCACATTTCATGGAGAACAAGTTCCTGACAGCCAGGAAATCTCAGTAAAAGCCATATTTTATGTTAGCGCGTATATTTGTGAGAATTTACTGCTCATTCCCTGAGATCTCACACATCGCGTGGTCACCTTGACAGGCCAGACAAGCTCTTTCACCAATCCTGTTTGTATGCTTTTGTCAGAATAAGTGCTTTCATTTGAGTTTCCAAACTTCTGAAGTGGCTCTTCTAACCTTTTGCTGGCCAGTGAGCAGACAGTCCCTCCTGCCCAGAGCACAGTGGCTCTGTGACCTTCCGTTGGTTCCCTGGACTCCCAGCCTCACTTGGTGGGACTCAAAAATCTCAGGAAATCAAGGAAATCTGAGAGATGGGAAGAGAGAGGGTGGGGGGGTAGAAGCAGGGAGAGAGACACCGACCCTTTACTTTGTCTCCTGCTGGGGCAATGTCACGCAGTGTCTAAGTATGTAAAACAAGATTTGATCCTCAACAAAGCCAAGAAATATGAGACACTGGTGCTTCCATGCCCTTGCCTCTTGCACTCCCTCTGTTACTGACCTCCTTACCCCATCCCTGTGTCCCCTCAGCCTTGTCCTCCGCAAGTGTCTCTCCTGCCTTCTCCAGCAGGGGACAAGATGACTTTCGCCAGGATCTTCCCAAGCCCTCAGCGGCACTGTGCATTTCCTGTGAGTCCCGCAATGACCGGGGAATACTGCAGAAGTTTCCCTAAAAGCTTTTCTTAGATGTCAATTTTGGAGGCTTTCTCAAAATGCAGCCTCACCTCCACTCGTGGTTTAAATTTGGGGGATACTTTGGCCTGTTTTGCCACATATTAATCTAGCACTATCATTTCCAAGAAGCAACCTGAAAGAAATTATCAGACATGTGGAGCAAGGTTTGTTTGTAGACTTTCTTACAGGGCTGCTTTTAGTAAAGGCCCTTTACAGGCTTTCACAGGTAAGTATCCCGAGGTCTTTGTAGATTTCCAAATCTGCAAATCCCGTGACAGCTTGTAATTTTCCTCATAAAACACAGGAAAGTAACTGAAAGGTTTAAGTACCCCTTCAGACCCCTAATTTATATGTTCTTATAATTTATAATGCCATTGAGATATATTCTCGCAAAAGCACTCTAAGAACATTTCAGAATTATTTCTCTTGTGTTTGTACAACTTGGGCTTCTTTATGTTATTGATCTGGGCTTTGAGAAAATTTGACATTCCACTCTGGTCTACGTAAATCTTGTACTTTCTGGGTTAGAACTATGACCTCGTTAGAGTTTGGTTCTTCTTCACTTTCCTCGCTAGCCCGGTACGAAAACTTTCTTTGGGGGTGGGAACCGCCGCACACGTAGGCAAGATTTCTTTTTATCATTTTGTGAGTGTCACTGCATGGGTAATGACGAGAACAAAACCACGGAGAAGTTGGGATTTAAATTCCAGTTGCCAGGAGAAGTTCATTCAGCAGCACGGGGACTCCTCTGCCACCTCAGGGGCCACATTCCAGATTCAGAGCTGTGTCCCAGAGTATCACGTGACTGCTCATCACATGCCTTGTGGTCACAGGAGTGCATAGAGAAGACAGAGACCGAGAGAGACCCAGGTCCCGAACGCCACCATGCTGGCTTTTCCATTTCAATCTAGTCATCCCCCTTTGAACTCTCTTCTGCAGGGCCCTATCCTCAAAATTAAATGAAACTCTTCACCGTGTAAGTTTGTTATAAATATTAACGATAATACAAGTGCCCAGCACAAGGTTGATGCAAGTAACTTATTCTCACAAGAAATATCCTTCTGATACATAGTATGAAACCTTTGAATGTCAAAGGCAAATTGGACACTCTTAACTGTGCCACAGTAGGAGAGAGCTGAAATAAATGATGCTATTCTGTAACCATGGGTTATTATATGGTGTTTTAGAATAAGAATCATGAAGAACTCTTAATGAGAGGAGAATTTCCCAACCTTTACATGAAAAACCCAGCAAGAAAAATAAATTTAAAATAACAGTCTGATGAATATATATATACACATGCAAAATCAACCCCAAACAAATCTGCAAATAGTCATTTTATCTCTGGATGATGAGACTATTAGTGATTTTTGTTTTGTACTATAAAGGTGATGTAATTTTACATATATTTATAATAAGCACATGCTAGCTTTGTACCAGGGAAAAGTAGTTAAGTTTCTGGCACATTGTAGAGTAAGTTCTCCACCTGGAGAAGGCATGGGTGTTATTGAATTTGACCTTAATATATACAGATGCATCTGACTTGAACCAAAATAGGCACACACAAAAAATGTACACATCAACCTCTGGCATAGACAAGAATTGTCCCAAGGTATCATTTTGGATTTCTTAACAGTGGGCATACATAATATGGACAATAAAAATCTACCTCTTGCATCAAAGACAATAACAGTGACAAAATTTGCAGAAAAATATGAAAAATATACCAGTTTCATACTTTGTTTTAATGCCTACTTCACTTTAGTTGTGCCTCAGGCAAGCACAAATACCCTCTTATTAATAGCCATGTTTAGGGTACAAATGCTCCTGTCTCTGTTTGAATCCACATTCCTGTGTATTAACGTTGCTTTAATAAATAGGTGTATTTTATGTAGTTTAAATCCAGTTTAAATTTTACTTACTTTTAATTCTCAACTTTGCTTTGACAGGTGAAGAATATGGAGACCCAGTTCAGAAGAAAGAAATAACGAAGGTAGGGGAGGGAAAGTTCCATGTTTAGTTTTAATTTCAAATTTTAGATGTTTTTAAAAAAATATATTAAGTTCTCAAAGGCCTGATTTTCACTATAACTAATGAGACATTTAATGTATAACATTAAAAAAATAAATTACTATGGTTCAAAGTTTCTTTGCAACCAGGTCCCCCAACAACAGAGTTTCTTCTGTTTAAAAAAATTATTTTAAAGGTATTTATGCACTGTCCTCCTGAGAAACCACTTTGAAGATACCATTAGGTATTATAGCAGCCACTGATATTTTCCTACTAATCTGTTCCTAACTCTGTAATGTTTGTATTGTTCCTATGCTATTTCATAAATGGATGTATGTTTATTACTATGTGTTTCCTACAACAACCATTGAGAATAGTCAATGATTATTCAACTGGTCACTCATGTATAGCTCTATTTATTTTCTTTAGAAACCACTTTGAAGATACCAAAGTATAGTACAACAACCATTGATAATCTCCTACCACTTTTGTCTGTAACTCACTATTATCTGTCTATTTGTTTTCCTGAGAAACTACCTTGTAGATAACAGTATGTAAAACAACAGCCATTGATAATTTCCTACCACTTTGTCTGTAATTCAGTAAGCCCCCCTATTACTATGTTATCCTTCTTTTACTCTTTAAAATAATAAAAAAGATATTTATGCAAATGCAAACAAATATATTTTTCAGGTTTTCACATGGGTGAGAGAGCAACACACATAGCATTCCTTAACTTTCTTTCTCAACATGGTGTCTTGAAGATTGTTCTAAATCAATTTTTCAAAGTATTTTCTCTTTTTAATGACTGTGAATGGTATTCTGTTACACTGATATCCCACAATTTATGGAAAGAAATACTAATGGACATTTGAAATGTTTCCCATATTTTGTTTGTAAAGAAAATGTAGAAAAATCCCTGGGTATACAAGTTATTTCATATGCTAGAAAGTATAGAATCCATTTCTAGAAATGGAACTACTAAATCAAAATCTATGTGTGTTTTTTTGATAAATATTGCAAATTATACTTGTTAGAATTTATATCAAATTTCCCTGCTACATTCTCAGATAATTTTACTTTTTCCTTTCCAGTCTGGATAACTTTTATTTCTTTTTCTTACCTAATTGCTCTGGACAGGACTTCTAATATATTAAATAAAGTGATCCTTGCCTTGCTCCTGATTTTAGAGGAAAAGCTGTTTTTTACTGTTGAACATGATGTTAGCTATGGGATTCTCATATATGGTCTTTCTTATGTTGAGGTATTTTTCCTTTTTTAAATGTCTTTGTCATGAATGGGTGTAGTCTTCTCGCTGTCAACATGGTGTTTCACATTGATTTGTGTTCATATGTTGAACTGTTCTTGTATCCCAGGGATTTGATTCTTCAGTGTGATGTTAGATTCAGTTTGCTCATATTTTGTTGATGAGCTTGCATTTGTGTTCATTGGAAGGCCTGTGGTTTTCTTTTTGTGTGGAATCCTTGGCTTTGTCTCATAAATTGAGTCTGGGAGTTGTAGTAGTTCAGTTAACTGTGTCAGCTTGATTGTTTGGGTGCCTCTAGAGGCATTGTGAAGCACACTTCTGGATATGTCTGAATGGGTCATGGAGGCCTGACTATGGTTTCTTTGGCAATGCTCCCCTGCTCTGTTTCTCAGTCACCAGGAACTAAGCATCTTTGCTCCATCATTCCCTTCCATCCTGATGTTCCTGCCTTGGACCCCGCTGACCTCTCAGACTCTGATGTCAGGTGTTGTGTCCCAGCAACAGGGAAGCTGGCTAGTACAGGAGGGTTCCCACTTCAATTCTGGAAGAGTGTTAGAAGGATCAGCATTAGTTATACTCTGAATATTTGGCAGATTTTATCAGTGAAGACATCTTAACTTGGACTTTTCTTTGTTAGGAGGCTTTTTGCTGCTGTTGTTTTGTTTTGAGACTTGCTGTGTTGTCTAGGCTGGTCTGGGACTCGTTGGCTCCAGAGATCCTCTGGCTTCAGCCCTCAGTGTGCTGGGTTTACAGACATGCACCACCATGTCTGGCTTTGTTGAGAAGTTCTTATATACTGATGCAATTTCCAGACTATTAGTCTGTTAAGGTTTTTTTTGTTAATTAAGTTTATTGGTATATTCTAGGTATACATAATGATCACATTTATAACAAGGAATTTGTACCTGTACATGATATAATTGATTCTTTTTCTACATTTCTTTCTGATTTAGATTTGGTAGGCTGTATGTGTCTAGAAATGTATTTAGTTCTGTTAGTATATTCAGCTTTTCTGACTTGAACCAAAATAGGTACACAAAAAAAATGTGCTCACCAACTCCTGGCATAGACAAGAATTGTTCCAAGGTATCATTTTGGATTTCTTAACAGTGGGCATACATAATATGGACAATAAAAATTTACCTCTTGCATCAGAGACAATAACAGAGTGACAAAATTTATAGGAAAATATGAAAAATATGCCAGTTTCATACCGTAACTGTTCATAGTAGTTGCGAAGGATCCTTTTATTTCTGTTATCGGTTCTAATAGTTCTTTCATTTCTGATTCTACTTGAATTTTATGTCATTTTCCTTGTTTAGTCTATGTTTTATTCAACTTCCTGCTACTATAATAGACAAATTGAGACTAAGTAATTTATAAGAAATTCATTTAATTCATGGTTGGGGTAGCTGGGAAGTCCAAGAGCACTGTGCTGGTATCTGCTGAGGACCTTGTGCTGCTTCATCTCATAGTGGAAAAATGGAAGAGCAAACAAGCATGTGCAGAAGAGCTTACGTCTATAAAAATGTAAGAACTACCTCTTGTGAGAGCAGCCTTACCAACTTCCTTAGAGTGGAGCCCTCACAACCTAAACACCTACCATGAGGCTTTACCTCCCAACACTGCCACCGTGGGAATTAAGTTTCCAACACAGTCAAAGCACAGCCCTCTAAGGGTTTCTCAATTTTATTGATACTTTCAAAAAACCAATATTTAGTTTAGTTGATTTTTTTCTACTGTTTTTCTAGTTTCTATTTTATTTCTTTCTGGTCTTACATTTGCTGCTTCTTTGCTCTTGGTAGATGCCCTTTTTGTTCTTTTTTTTTTTTTTTTTAGCTCTCTAGAGCATTAAGGCTGGTTAAAACCTTCCTTCTTTTTAATATTATTTATTGCTATGAATTTCTCTCTTAGTACTGGTTTGCTGCATTCCATGAATTTGGGTATCATGAATTTTCATGTTTATTCATCTTGAAGTATTTTTGCATTTATTTATTCTTTGAGCCAATGGTAGTTCAAATGCTATTTAATTTCAACATTTTTGTGAAGTTTCCACTTTTCCTTGTGGCACTGATTACTAGCTTCATTCTATTGAGGTCAGACAATAAAACAGTTGGTAGAATTTCAGTCTTCTTGTATTTGTTTAGATTTCTTCTGTGTCCTAACACATGATCTATCCTTAAGAAAGAGCACAGGCTACTTGAGACACATGTACATTTTTCTGTTGGACGGAAGGTTCTATACATTTTTGTTAGGTCTGTGTGTTCTATAACACTCATAAAATATGTTTCCTTATTTCTTTATTTAATCAAACCCTTTAAGGCAACGTCCCTTGTCTCTTATGATGTTTTTTTACCTTAGCCTATTTTTATCTGTTGTAAAATGGCCAGACCAGCTCTCTTTTGACTACTGTTTACATGGAATACCTTTTTCACCATCACTTCACTTTTAGCCAATGCATGTCCTTGATTCTAAAGTGAGTTTCTTGCAGGCATCACACAGTTGGGTCAATGTTCTTTACATTTTTATTTTATTTTTTTACTTATTCAGCTACTCTATGTCTTTTGTTTGGTAAATTTAATCTATTTACAAAGTAATCATTTATAGGGAGGGATTTACTATTGCTCTTTTGTTATTTGCTTTCTGTTGGGGGTATAGTTCTTTTGTCTGTCATTTCTTCTAGTTACGTCTTCCTTTTTTTCTTTTTTTGTCTTTTTGAGACAGGGTCTTGCTATGCAGTTCAGGCTGGCCTTGAGCTCACTTTATAGCCCAGGCTGGTCTCGAACTCACAACAATCCTCCTGTCTCAGCCTCCTGAGTGCTGGGATTACAGGTGTGCACCACTACACCCGACTTCCATCTCCCTCTTTGTGTTATGTTGATTTTTTGTATTAATATACTTTGATTTCTTTCTGTTTTTTGTACAAGTTCTAGAGTAACCACTTTTTATGGTTACTTTGAAAATGACATAAGATATGTTAATATAATCTAACAGTCTCATTCAAGTTGGTAACAATTTAATTTCAGTTACATACAGAAACTCCAAACTTCTTCCTTACATTTTTTTGTTCTTCTTATCACAGTTTATTTATTTTTATTTTTTTATTTTGTTTTTTTTTGTTTTTTTTTGTTTTTTCTCCGGTACCGGGAACCGAACTCACGACCTTGCGCTTGCCAGGCAGGCGCTTTTGCCGCTGAGCTAAATCCCCAGCCCCTCTTATCACAGTTTATATCTGCTCATACTATGTATCTTTTAGCTCCTTAGTTAGAGTTATCTTTAATAATTTTGTCTTTTAACTTTTATATTTGAATTAAAGGTAGTGTACTTACCACCATTACTCCAATATATTATTCTTTTTTGCATTACTTTGGTTGCAGTTATATCTGATTGATAGAGATGTGGATCTTGGTTCTACTAATTTTTCTAAAAATGAAGTCTGCCTTTTACTTTGTGTGTGTGTGTGTGTGTGTGTGTGTGTGTGTGTGTGTGTGCGCGCGCGTCTCCCCTTGAGGGTGATTTCTAGCAAGACAAGGAGGAAATCTGCCTTTCATTGCAATGAGCAAGTAAAAATATCTAATTAATATTTATTGATCTATTGGTGCTCTGCCCACAAATTCCTGCTTCTGCAATTTCAGATACTTTTAGAGTACATGTCATCCAGAAATGGGGAAAAGGAGTTTTAATAATTATCTGGAAGTGTTTGGCTTCTGACATAT